AATTCTAAACTGAAAATAATTTTCTATAAGGTAATTACTTGATTGTCTTCTAGCATTCGATGTTTTGGGATGAAACATTTGTTTCCATTCTGTTTCTCACTCTTTTAGTGATCTTTTTCCTTCTCTGATAGCTTTTTATATCTTCTCTTTTCCTGTGCGATTTGGCATTTTTTTAAAGATATAGTTAGGAATGGATCATTTTCCATTCCTCCTTGGAATCTGGTAGCCATATTTTTCAGTTTGAACACTTGTGTCTCTTACCAGCTCTGGGAAATTTTCTTGAATTTATCTTTGATGATTTCCTCCTCTCTATTTTCTTTTTCTTAAAATACTGTTAGTTGGATGTGGATCTCTTGGATATATCCTTTAGGTGACTTCTTTTTTTTCAAACATCTCTTTTCTTTTTTTTCCCCTCCCCTTGGGGGGGGCACTAATTATATAAATGTGTTTAATTTTATTGCACCATACATTGCATTTTTAAAAGCGCTTTCTTCCTCTCATTATCACTTTGTGATTTTATGGATGCAAAATCTTCTGAAATGTCTCTGAGTATACTTATTAAAGATTCGTTAAAGCTTCCCTTTCTTCTGTGATTTATCGCAGAAGACTATGGCCAAATTTTCTTTTTTCTTTCTTTCTTTTTATAAAAAATTTACCATAATGCTAAAGGCGTTCTTTGTGTCTTCATTCATGTCTCCATTGAGCATGGCTGTTAAATGAAGAAGCAAGGAAAATGTGAGTTCTGTGCATATGGGCAGCGGTTGTCAACTGGTAGGCTCCATTTTAGGCACTTAATCAAGGAGCTGCCATTTATGCTGAAAGCCTGTCCCCCAAACTATCACAATGTGTAAAGGCTTTACCATACTGGTGCCAAGCTTACATTAAAAGCTCAAGTTGTCCTCAAATAACTTGTTCTTTCCGCCTTTAAACATATAGGAGTATATAGTATAATTTTTTATTCCCTTTGACCTTTGAATACTTTGCCTATATTTGGGGAATTCCCACTCAATAAGCCCTTATTTTCCCAAGCTTCCTGACTGCCTGCATGGAGAGTATGAACTGCATTTTACCAATTAGAGGCATTCGTGCCAAATTTTAGACCAGAAGTATGGGACATGAAACAGCAGATGAGCTGCCAGGAACTCAGAGGTAGTGGGCATGAGGTTTCAGTCACAACACGCAGTGTCCTAGCATGGTACAGGGCTATCTTCTTCTCTAGAGCAATTCTACGTGGGACTTTGGGTGTGGTTCTTGGCTGTGTGCTTTTCTAGCCTGATTCTCTGGCAGTCTCTGAATTCTGTGAGCTACCCAATAATCTTTAATAAATTCCTTTCCTAATTAGACTACTCCAAGTTCATACCAGTTGTTTGTCAGTCACTCTCCTGACAGATACAGGGAGCCAGATTTGGCTGCTGTGGATTGTTTATAAGGAGATAAACAAGTCAGATATTGCAGTCCATCAAGTAACTGTTAAAGACTTAAATTATTATTATTATTATTATTATTTTGAGACAGAGTCTCACTCTGTTGCCTAGGCTAGAGTGCCATGGCATCAGCCTACCTCACAGCAACCTCAAACTCCTAGGCTCAAGCGATCCTTCTGCCTCAGCCTCTCAAGTAGCTGGGACTACAAGCATGTGTCACCATGCCCGGCTAATTTTTTCTATATTTTAGTTGGCCAATTAATTTCTTTCTATTTTTAGTAGAGACGGGGTCTTGCTCTTGCTCAGTCTGGTTTCAAACTCCTGATGTTGAGTGATCCACCCGCCTCGATCTCCCAGATTTCTAGGATTACAGGCGTGAGCCATTGTGCCCGGCCTTAAATTATTTTTAAAATAAAAAAAATTCTTCCATCATTTTTGTGTAAGTTTTTGTCACTTGGAAAATATAATTTCAATTACTTCAACTCGTGATATGACTAATTGTGTGACCTTGTCACATATTAATTTCTAAAAAATGCAGAAGGATAAGCTATGATTCACATCCCTCAGTAACATAAAGTCAATAAAGTTGAGTCAGAGTAGGACTCTTACCTACAATGTAATGTAAAATCTGTACATAAATTGACTCATTTAAATGTTAACGGAATATTCATCAAAATGCAAATTAATATTTAAATACAAGTTAAAGCATACTGTCCTTTTAGCTTTAACTCACTTTCTTGCCCTCACCAATTAGAACATTTTTAATCGGAACGGTCTCTTTTCTAAATATCCTAAGTAGTTACTTCCTTCATTATATTTCATTAGTTTTTGCTTCATCTTCCAAAAATTTATTTAAATCTCTCTTTTGCCCCTTCTCATTCTGTTTATTGGAGTGGGTTGATATGATCTACTTAACTGTTGTTGCATTTTGAGAAAGAGAGGCACGATATGGTCTCTGTGTTAGCAAGATCACTCTGACTGCTGTGTTGAGAATAGACTGCATTGGGTAGCAAGGGCAGAAGCAGGGAGACCAGTTAGGAGGTTCTTCTGATTGTTCAGGGAAGAGATAATGGTGGTTTAAAATAGTGTATTGGCAGAGGAAAGGGTGACCAATTATTTAATTTTGAAATTCCCGTAAAACTTTGGTACTACTAGGACATTTATGAGGATGTTACCCATTATGAAGTTAATCAGGAAAAATTTCTTACTGTTCTTAGTGTTAGCGTTATTTGTACTTTCCCCCTAAGCTGTTAGTTTCATCTTAAGTACTTTGCAAATTTATAATTGAACATTTTGAAAATAAGAAAGCTTAGAACAGAACCCGGCACAGTGGCTCATGCCGGTAATCCTACTACTCTGGGTGGCCGAAGGCAGGAGGATTGCTTGAGGTCAGGGGTTTGAGACCAGCCTGAGCAAGAGCGAGACTCCAGTCTCTACTAAATATAGAGAAAATTAGCTGGGCGTGATGGTGCCCGCCTGTAGTCTCAGCTACTCAGGAGGCTGAGGTGGGAGGATCACTTGAGCCCAGGAGTTTGATGTTGCTGTGAGCTAGGCTGACGCCATAGCACTCTAAGCCCAAGTGACAGAGCAAGACTATCTCAAAAAAAAAAAAAAAAAAAAAAAAAAGAACGAAAGAAAGCTTAGAACAAATTAATGGCTTAATGGCTCATCCTCAGGAAGCATATTCAAATTAATGGTGTTTGCTGTATTAGACTTATTTTGGTCATCCTATTATTAATTTTCCTTTTGCTTGATTTTTTTCTCATCTTAGTTTTAAAATTTCTGTCATTGTTCCTGTTTTTGTAAACCTTATATTCCTTTTGGTACAAGTTAGGGTGCCCGTTAATATTTCTCTCACTGAATCTGTGTGAGATACCACCTTTCACTGTCTCTTCAAGGTTGCATCTATGTCCTTTTTACGCTTGTGCTTGTTTCTGTTATTTAAGAATGAAACCTGACTGCACAAATCCAAACCATCAGAATAGTTTAAGTTTTTCATGGAACATTAAATAAAGAAATGTTTGTCTTATGCAAGGAAAACAGATTTGATCACTTAACTCAGCAGATCAGTAAGTTAAAAGTGAGTCACAGCAATTGTCGGACTGAATTACTAGTCACTGGTCAGTTCAATCAAAACATTTAATCCAGTGATATGTTGTATCTATGACAGATCTTGATTATGAAACTTGCCCTTGAGTTTATTTTATGAGAACATTTTATACCAGAAACAGGTAGCATATAAAACAGGGAGGAATTTACATACATTGCATATAATTATATCATGAGGATTCCAAATGGTGAACCAATTTCTAGAAATTCTAGAGAAACATTGTACTATTAGTATACAAAGGACCAAAATTCTGATGAATACTGATAGTCTGAAAAACAAACTTGCCAACTTGTTTGTACTCATCTGTTTTCTTCTTAAGAGTATTTAAGTTGTAAAAAATAAATATGTTTTTCCATGAACTTATCAGATGGTGCTAATTCTCAGATATGCGTTATGAGACATGTTTCTCACTTAATATTTTATAATATGCTTTTAGTATATTATATTTAGCTGTGGTTTATATTTTAAAATAAATGTCTCATAATCACAGGCAGCTCTGAAAGGGATTTTAGAGATCATCCAACAGTCTGGGTCTGACTGAGGTCTAGTGTTGATATCCCAAGTCCCACGGCTGATTAGCAGAAGAGCCTACACCTGGCACCCAACACGCTTGACACCTAATTCAGGGCTTTTTAATCTCAGATTACTTCCATATGTTAAACTGAATCCCCACTTCGAGATCATACAAAAGACTGAAACATCAAAATTATGTAGAATTTCATCACAAGTCCAAGCCCAATATATTAAAATTGTAACTACCATTATAATTGATGATGTAATAGTACAAATAATCTTATTCGTGGTGTATTTCAAATTGAGTAGAACTCATGGGAAAGCTTGTATCTGAATTCATCTCCTCATTTGGATACATTAAGCCATCAGACCTTCTTTAAATTACCCTGATAGCCCTCTAATGTGACTATTACCTCATCTGCAGATAAACAATAGATTTCTAAAAGCATATTGGAAAAATTTCTCCTCTTTATTGGAAATAAATATGTAGTTGTTACTGCTGCAGTAACCGTTTGGCTTTGAAGTATCGTAGTAAAAGATAAAGGCCTTAGAAAAATAAGGGAGATTTAAGAACTGAGCATGAAAAAAAATAAAGATGGCAATATTAATGGTGTTAGATTAGCTATTATGCATTTAGTGAACATTGTGAACACTTGAGTTAAAATTTCATTCTTATCCTGTGACACCTGTGCTGGTTTGTTATGGCATAAAGACACTGAATGTTTGTTTTTTAGCTTATATTTTAAACATGTAAAATAGGATGTGTACAGTAATAAATCAATAACTTATAATTTAAAGTGGGGTGCTTCTCTGATATTGATACAGAAGGTAACAGAAGATTAAAATTTAAAGACTCGTTTATAATTCTTTTCCTCTTATGTTTTCCGCAGACAGCTTGTATATATGTGTTTTTTTGTGTGTGTGATTTTAACTTTAGATTTACTGTTTTTCAGGTGTCCTTCTTTGAAGTAAGATGATTTGTCAAAAATTCTGTGTGGTTTTATTACATTGGGGTAAGTTATTTGATGTTTTAATGACCTTATATAAAGTAGAGATTTTGCCTGTAGAGATGCTGTTTCATTTATTGACTAATGGAATTTCCTTTTTCTAGTTAGGAATTCTCATACATACTCGTGGTTAAAATTGCGAATCAAACAAAATGTGTGAAAATGAAAACTCTTTTTAACCTCCTGAAACAATCTGATGGTGTATCCTTCCAGAATTATACCACACATATACATGCATATACATACACATACACACACATACACTCCTATCTGTAGTTGTAAAAATAGAATTGGTTTATACCATGTTTCTTTTTCCATTTAATAGGTTTTCAATTTATCATGATAGCTTTCTTTTTAGTATTTACTGATGTACTTACTGGTTTAATGGTTGCATGACAATGCACTGTATGAATGCATCTTAAATTATTTATTTGACCAATTCCTGATTGATAGACATTTCTTTTTATGTAACAAATAATGCTGCACTGAAAATCCATATACATAGGTCTTTGTATATTTGGAGGAATATTTATGTATATTAATGCAAGAATTTCTATGTTGACTAGTATGCACATTTTAAAATTTGATCTGAAATCTCCTCTACAAAGCTTTTGCTGTCACAGCATCAGTATGTGAAAGTTGTTCTGTTGCTTTTCTGCCAAAGATACATATTATCATTCTCTTACCCTTTTGCCCTGTTGGATGAGCAAAATATGGCATCTTATTTCAGTTTTATTTATTTGATCATTTGTGAGGTTGAGCACTATTTGCTGATATTTATATGTTTGACGGAATTTTTTAGTTCTTATACTTTGATCATTTTGTTGTTGGGTTTTATTAGTCTTAATTGAATTTCAGAAATTTCTAAAAGGTAAAAGATATTTAGCACTATATTAGGGATTTCCAGAGAAACAGAACCAGTAAGGGGTATGTGTGAATGTGTGTATGTGTGTGTGTGTGTGTGTGTATAAAGAGATTTATTATAAGGAATTAGCTTATATAATTATGAAGGCTGAAAAGTCCCAAGATCTGCAGCTGGCTAGCTGGAGACCCAGGAGAGCTGATGATGTAGTTCCAGTCCAGGCCTAATGACCTGAAAACCATAGGGGCTGATGATGTGAGTTCCAGTTTGAACACTTGCACACTTGAGATCCAAGAACCACTGTTTCAGTTCCAATCCCAAGGCAGGAAAAGACTCATGTCCCAGCTGAAGGAGATCAAGCAGCAGGAGTTCCTTCTTACTCAGTCTTTTTGTTCTATTCAGGTCTTCAATTGATTGGAAGAGGCCCACCCGCACTAGGAAGGGCAATCTGCTTTACTCAGTTTACCAATTTAAATGTTCATCTCATCCAGAAACATCCTTGCAGACATACCTAGAATAATGTTTGGCCAAATGTCTGGGCACCCCGTGGGCCTAGTCAGGTTGATATATAAAATGAACCACCAGGAACCTTAACAATTTACTATTTTTTTTTTTTTTTTTTTTGAGACAGAGTCTCGCTTTGTTGTCCAGCTAGAGTGAGTGCCGTGGCGTCAGCCTAGCTCACAGCAACCTCAATCTCCTGGGCTCGAGAGATCCTTCTGCCTCAGCCTCCCGAGTAGCTGGGACTACAGGCATGCGCCACCATGCCCGGCTAATTTTTTTTATATACATATCAGTTGGCCAATTAATTTCTTTCTATTTATAGTAGAGACGGGGTCTCGCTCTTGCTCAGGCTGGTTTTGAACTCCTGACCTTGAGCAATCCGCCTGCCTCGGCCTCCCAGAGAGCTAGGATTACAGGCGTGAGCCACTGCGCCCGGCCAACAATTTACTATTTTTGCAAATATTTTCTCACTGCCCATTATTCGCTTTTTAATTTTCTTTCTTTTATGGTATAGAAAATTTATATATAAATACCAATTCCAGTATATACACTTAGAAACAAGATGTAATGACATTTAAATGTTAATTTTATTTAGCAAATGTAACATTATTAAGTTACAAATACATATCAATGATAACCAAAACTTTAATTCTCTAGATCAAGGAGTAGTTTACTTAGTGATAATATTTAAAATAAATGACTGTGACACAAAAAGATGGTTTTATTCTCAAATGGAAGGGAGATGCCATCTTAAATGCTATTCCCTATTATATTGTAACTCTGGCAAGCAATGATCAATATGATGTTATAAGGGAATATTATCAAGGGATGATGTATATGTTGGAAAGTGCCACCTTGAATACCAAGAAAAGAATGCTTTCAGAAATTAAATGTATACTAGTCCTTCTTCCTACTTATTTCAAGAATATCCTTAAGGGAAAGCTTGAGATGTTCTTTAGATGTCTTATATTTTTTTGAACTGCTGTGAATCATAGCAGTATCTATTTGAAATTAGGCACACATTGTCAATAACGCTTGGGCATACTGTTCTCACTTTTTTTCTGACCACATTCTGGTGATATTCTGATTTTCTTAAGTCCAAATCATCTAATTTAGGTTGTGTTCCAAGTTTTGAAATTAAATTTAGGCTACCTTTAACAAAATTTATGTTATCTGGCACCTGTTACCTGTGTGTCAATTAGTTCTGAACATTGCCATTCTGGGATTGGCAACTCCAATCCCAAGGTGCTCTTATAAGCTTCCCTACAAGTCTTTTTCTTTACATACTTCTCTTTCTCTTTGCAGCCATCTGTATACATACAGAATATACCCAGGATAGCTCCACTGTTACAGATTTCCAAAAAACTGTGCCACAAGGGGCGATCATAGAGAAATAACTCATTCTCTTCTATATTTTCTTATTTTTATTAGACTCTAATGTTTCATTCACATTAGCTTTCTGAAAGATTTGTGATTTGATAAAGTTTTATGAATCAGAAGAGATCCTGGGATATTTTTACCTGATAACATAAGTCTTCAGATAAAAAATTCTGGACATCTTGCTGTTTAAGATTCATTTGGAGGGAAAGAAATATCATTTGCAAAGGAAGCATGTAAACAAAGTAGACTCATCATTTAAATTAAACTTATTCAATAGTTGCTATGTCTATGAAGTTCATTATCACATTTTAAATTTCAATCCTTCTTTGAGGATTTTAGGCTAATTTCAGTTCAGGCAATTGAATTCTCAATGTGTAGCTAAATATATTAATATAATCCTTTTAATTAGTAATATTACAATATTCATGGTTTTGTAAAACCCAAAAGAAAACCATGGCTGTTTTCATAAGATGCTCTGGTTTTAGAAACACATGTCAAAAGGAGTGAAGTCATAAGGAATCCAGTGGCAATGAAGATTTACTTTTGGTGATGTTACGATATGTAACTGTCATCAGTGTGGACACAATAATGTTAGTCACATTAATCATTTTGGCCTTAATTTTTGCATCTGTACCTTTATATTAATTTATATTTATAGAAATGTTTAGGAACCAAACTATTAACATACTATTAAACTATTAACCTATGTATTGTTTGAATATTTTTACATGTATTGCTTTTGTAATTAAAAAAATACATCTATGAATTGATTTTTAAAAATTTCTATTTTCTTACATTTTTAAATACATTTCATTTTTTACAGCAGTTTCAGGTTCACAGCAAAATTGAGAGGAAGGTACAGAGAGGTTTTCCATATACTTCCTGCTCCCATACAAGCGTACCCCTCGTATTCCCAACATCCCTCACAGGAATGGTATATTTGTTACAAGTGATGAACCTGCATTGACATATCATTATCACCCAAATCCCATAGTTTACATGAAGGTTCACTCCTCATGTTGAATATTCTGTGAGTTTTGGCAAATGTATAATGACCTTTATCCACCATTATAGAATCATACAGAATAGTCTCATTGCCCTATTAATCCTCTATGGGCTACCTAGTCATCCCTCTCTCTCTCCTAACTTCTGGCAACCATTGATCTTTTCATTGCCTTCATAGTTTTCTCTTTTACAGAATGTCATATAGCTGGGATTATATAGTATGTAGCTTTTTCAGATTGGCTTCTTTAACTTGATAATATGCATTTAAGTTTCCTCCATGTCTTTTCATGACTTGATGGTTCATTTTCTTTAAACACTGGATAATATTCCATTGTCTGGATGTACCATAATTTATTTATTCATTCACCTACTGAAGAATACCTTGGTTGCTTCTATTTTCTTACATTTATCAAAATTCTTATTCCATACAAATTCATACACAATTCTCAAAATTCTCATTCTGCATTAGTGTGTATATGAGCCAACAAAATTGTTGGGTTATTTGGGTAACTTAGATGAAAGTTTTGGAAATTATTATTTTATTTATAATTACTAATTTTTAAAAAAAATTTCAATTCTCTTTTATCTTATTTTTCCTTTTTTATGTTTTTTAAAATTTATTTTTAACCATTATGAGTACCCAACAGTTGTATAGGGTACATGTGATGTTTTGATACAAGCACACAATGTACATTACTCAAATCAGGGTAATTGGAGTATTCATCACCTCAAACATTTACCATTTCTTTGTGTTAGGAATATTCCAATCTACTCTTTTAGTTATTTTAAAGTATACCATAACTTATTATTGACTATAGTCACTCTGTTGTGCTAGCAAATGTTGTTCATTCTGTCTAACTATCTAACTATATTTCTGTACCCATTAAGCATCCTCACCTCATCTCCCCACCCCCACTACCCTTCTCAGCCTCTGGTAACCATCATTCTACTCTCTGTCTCCATGTGATCAATTGTTTTAATATTTAGCTCCCATATAGGAGTGAGAACATGTAAAATTTATCTTTCTGTCTTGGCTTATTTCACTTAACATAATGTTCTCGAGGTCCATCCATGTTGTTGCAAATGGCAAGATTTCACTCTATTTTATAGCTTTATAATATTCCATTGTGTATATGAACCACAATTTCTTTATCCATTCATCCATTCCAAATCTTGGCTATTGTGAATAGTGCTGCAATAAGCATGGGAGTGCAGATATCTTTCCACTATACTGATTTCCTTTCTTTTATATTATACCTAGCAGTTGGATTTCTGGGTCATATGATAGTTATATGTTTAGTTTTTTGAGGAATCTCCATAATGTTCTCCATAGAGGTTGCACTAATTTACTTTCCCACCAACAGTGTATGAGGGTTCCCCTTTTTCTACATTCTTGCCAGCATTTGTTATTTCCTGTGTTTTGATAAAAGCCCTTTTAACTGGGATAAGATGATATCTCATTGTAGTTTTGACTTGCATTTCTCTGATGACTAATGATGTTGAGCATTTTTCATATTCCCGCTTGTCATTTGTATGTCTTCTTGTAGGAAATGTCTATTCAGATCCTTTGCCCATTTTAAAAAATCAGATTATTTGATTTTTTCCTATTGAGTTGTTACAGCTCCTCATATATTCTAGTTATTAATCCCATGTTGGATGGGTAGCTTGCAAATATTTTTCTCCCGTTCTGTGGTTTGTTTCTTCACTTTGTTAATTGTTTCCTTTGCTGTGCAGCTTTTAAAATCACGTGGAGACAGAGAGTCGAATCTGAGTCCTCTAGTTTTGTTATTTTACTCAGATGGCTTTGGATCTTCTGGGTCTTTTGTGGTTCCATATAAATTTTAAGATTATTTTGTCTATTTCCATGAGGAATGTCATTGGTATTTTGGTGAGGATCGCACTGAATCTGTAGACTGCTTTGGGTAGTATGGACGTTTTACTAATATTGATTCTTCTAATCCATGAGCATGGAATATGTTTCCATTTTTCTTGTGTTGTGTTCAATTTCTTTCATCAATGTCAAACAATTACTTATATGAAAATAAGTTTAACTTTTGAGGATATTGTTAGTACAGGATTATATAATTGGTCTTAATTTTTACATATTTAAAAAGTGATAATTTAATCAGCATAAGTTTCCTCTAAGAAGTCTATTCTTGTGCATTATTTCTTGGGTAGTGTTTTATGAGCATGTCTTATATGATGTTTTATATCTGGAGGATCATGGACAGATTCAGGTGGGCATGCAGCTGTCCTCATGTTGAAGACAAATCCTTTCTAAAAGTACACAGTGAAAGCAGTGTTGACATTTTGGTGTTACTCTCTTTAATAAATACTAAAACAGTGCTTTAATGTTTGTTTATATAACTGCACATCCAGATATTTCCCATTTATGCCATAAGTTAGAGTAATATTTTTTAGAAGAGGAAAATACAATATTTAGTGTTGATTTTTTATTAAAATATAGATATAAGCCAGGCGTGGTGGCTCACGCCTGTAATCCTAGCACTCTGGGAGGCCGAGGCAGGCGGATTGCTCAAGGTTGGGAGTTCAAAACCAGCCTGAGCGAGACCCCGTCTCTACTAAAAATAGAAAGAAATTAATTGACCAACTAAAAATATATATACAAAAAATTAGCCGGGCATGGTGGTGCATGCCTGTAGTCTCAGCTACTTGGGAGGCTGAGGCAGGAGGATTGCTTGAGCCCATGAGTTTGAGGTTGCTGTGAGCTAGGCTGACGCCATGGCACTCACTCTAGCCAGGGCAACAAAGTGAGACTGTCTCAAAAAAAAAAAATATATATATATATATATATGATGTTATATTAATGAGAGAAAATGAAGTATGAATTTCCAAAACAGGTGCCAGAGAGTGGAGTAGAGTTACTTCTATAGATAAATGCATCCTCTCTAATATAACAAATTGTACAATGGAAGCAGAGAGTTATTCATTGAGAACTTAGTTATTCATTGAGAACTGATTGAGAACTTAGAAAGTTAAATAATTATTTCTGAACACTAAATGATTTAATCTCAGATACTTCCTATTTATGTCTTAGTCAAAATGATTACTCATTTTTTGTGTCTTTTCAATGTCCTAACAGAATTTATTTATGTGATAACTGCATTTAACCTGTCATATACAATTACTCCCTGGAGATTTAAGTTGTCTTGCATGCCACCAAATACAACCTATGAATACTTCCTCTTGCCTGCTGAAGTCTCAAAGAACACTTCAAGTTTGAATGGACATTATGACACAGCTGTTGAAGCTAAATTTAATTCAAGTGATATCTACTTTTCTAACTTATCCAAGACAACTTTCCAGTGTTGCTTTTGGAGTGAACAAGATATTAATAAAAACTGCACTGTAAGTGCAGACAACATTGAAGGAAAGACATTTGCTTCAACAGTAAATTTTTTAGTTATTCAACAAATAGGTAAGTATTTTAATGTTCTAAGTATTATCTGTTATTTTTTAATTGTATGGAACAAAGTGTTTTAAATCTCTGAAACCTGTGTGAAATAAATGGCGTATGGCTATGATTCTTAATGCATATTATCATTTTAATATTAGTAATAAAATTAGGATTCATCATGTGATCAAACTAATAAGACAAATTATTTTATATCCCATAAAAATGTAATAAGGGAAGTCTTTTATCTTTAAGTATATCCCTTGCAGTCTTCTAAATGTACTTTGAAATAGAAAACATATATCTTATTTTTATTAAATAAAATATCAAATGACTAATAGTATTATTGAATTAGTTAAATTTTAAAATGTTTATGAATAATGGTATTTTTTTCAGGCAAGGAATCTCTGAAACAATGTAAATTTTAAATCAAGGGCTTTTTGTTGTCGTTTTTAAGTATTATGGATAATCTAGTGATTATTAAATATACTAAGAATGAACTTAAGAAGTTGGTCTTAGTGATAAGCCTTGAAGTGATAAAAGGTGTTAGCACTTTTGTCAGTTATGAAGCAGACTGATTATGATGTTGTGGATTGAAACTTTACACTATAAGTAAAGGCTAATAACTAGTTACTTTTAAGTGAGTTTAAGTTTTCATAACTAAAATTGCTAGGTTAAGTAGCGGTCACTGAGGATTTAAATTTATAATTCTGCCAAATAGGTGTCTACTTCATAGGGCTCAACAGTATTGCAAAGTCCCTATTACTTGGAAATCCTTGTGGTTTGGGGTAATATGTTAGTGTTGTCTTAAGATAGTCATGATTTTCTTTTTTTTTTTTCTTCTATTTATTTATTTATTTTTTACTTTTTTCAATTTTTTTATATGTTATGACGTTTAAAGTCATGATTTTCAATTGTTGCTATTCCTGCTTTCTGAATTACAAATCACCAATAGTTTAGCATTATCCCCGGTGAGTTGTTCAGTGTGCAGTGAAATATACTTTCATCTATTGTATTTGAGTCCTATAATATGACAATAACAAGAATTTAAGACTTGCATTATAGTTCAAATGTGAATCATTGTGCCTGTATTTGCTAAAGCAAATATATATATCCCTGAAAATTTGCTTGTAACTTGGTATTTAATGTTCTTTTTTCTCTTGAAAAGCGAAAAAGAACTAAACTAGGTGAGTTTTGAGGTCTTTTGTCCTACTTAAGTGATTTGGGATTAAAGGAAAGGTTGAGAAGCAATAATTGCATTTAATTCTCTTACTTTACGAAAAAAGAAAACTGAGGGCCAAAGGGACTAAATGGCTTGGCCAGACACATACTACTTGTAAGAGCCTGTTCTTTTACTCTCAGAATGGTCAATGGAAGCTATATCAGAACACGGGTAAATTTAATTTAGCTCTTCTCTCTCACTGAGTTGTTCAGAATATTTTTTAGATTTCATGTAGTTTTTTTTTTTTTTTTTTTTAAATTCAGGTGCAAACTGGAACATACAGTGTTGGATGAAAGGGGACTTGACATTATTCATCTGTTATATGGAACCATTATTTAAGAATCCTTTCAAGACTTATAATTTTAAAGTCCATCTTTTATATATTCTGTAAGTACTAAATAAATTAATTTGGACATTTCTACTACATAAATGTTTGTTTTAAAAAAAGAGCTTCCATAAGCAGAAGTGAATTATGAAACCTCTTCTATCTGTAAATTTCCTTTTATATCTATGTATATTTATAGGAGGCAGTTTGTATTTTTTTATATAGCATTCTTCTCTATTAGGTTTCCTTTTTTTTTTCCCTCTTGTTGATTCAGGGAGCAAGACATTGTAGATACAGATGGTGAACCCAGTTCAGGGGTCCTAGATATTTGAGAGGAAAAGTAGTGAGAGAATGCAGAGTTCTGGGGGTAGGGCTCACAGATCCATGTTTTACCAAGCCCTTTATGTGATTCTGATGGAAGTCATATTTGAAAAGTGCTGGTATAGAGGTTAATGTCAGAGATTTTAGAGTCAGACTACCTGGTGCTACCACTTACTGAATGATATTTAAGAGGAAAAGGGGAAAAAACTTGTTTTATATTTCTTTTTCAGGTGATTTTTTCATATTTGAGCTCTTCATAACTGTAAAAATATAGGTGCCTAATATTTATTTGTCCTAGGTAGAGAGCTAAGATGGCGTTTCAAAGAGGCATACGTTGTATAATTCTAACGGCCAATATATCATGCAGGTTTTCTGGAGTCAGACGTGCTACCGTTGCGCCATGAGGCCTCCCCATATCATGCAGGTTTTCTAATAACTCCAGTGAGAATAAACGCCATTTCCGTGGGACTTTTAACTCTTTAAAATTCTTTCTCATTCTTTCTTTTATTTGATGCTTAAAGAGAAAGAGACTCATCTTCTTCAGTTCTCCAGTTATTGAGACCACACCACTGAAGGACAATATGCTAGAACTGTCCACATAAAGATAAGTAGAGACAAAGTAGAAGAGTGATGACCAGGGGCTGAGAGGAGGGAGAAATGGGGTGTTATTGTTTAATGGGTGCAAAGTTTCACTCTGGAGTTGGGTGATGGTGTTGTATAACAATGTGAATGTACTTAATCACTGAACTGTACACTTAAAATGATTGAAATGGTAAGTTTTATCACAATATATATCGCAATAAAAATTTAAAAAAGAAAGTTGAATATATATTAAGAAAAAGATGAATAGTTAAGATCTTTGCCTTTGAGGTGCTCACAGGCTGACAGTTGGGACAGATAAGAACAGGGTTTCAGTTTTAGTAGTTACTGACCCTTTTGGTAGGTACGTGATGTCACGGAAGCACACGATTGCTGTGGAGTCGTAGTTAGGTAGTATCTAGTTCAGCATTGAGAGAAGAGAGGAGCAAAGGTTCCCTAAGGAAGCAGACAGCTGAGTTGGCTCATTAGAGATGAAGGAGAGATAATAAGAAAATAGATGGGCAGTATAGTGTTGCAAATGAGATCAGTGTTACCTGAAAACGTGTTAGAAATTTAAATTCACTAGCTCCACCCCAGAATGCAGAGTTCTGGGGGTAGGGCTCATAGATCCGTGTTTTTACCAAGCCCTTTATGTGATTCTGATGGAACTCAAATTTGAAAAGTCTTGGTGTAAAGGTTAATGTCAGAGATTTTAGAGTCAGACTACCTGGTGCTACCACTCATTGAATGCACACTTATAACAATGCTTAACAGCAGTTCTACCTCTGGATATGAACTCAATGGGAATAGTCACACAAATGCTTAAACATTATTTGTTGAATGACTGACTGAATGACTACATATCACCAAAATACTTTGTCAAGAATGTTTGCCAGTTTACCATCCAGAAATATCTTAATGAGCCAAAAACTATTAATAAAGAAGTAATATTGTCTGAACGTGGGGGAAGTGAGTGGTCAGTGGTCAGATATAGCAGAAAGGTATAATAAGGTATGAATAATATGTATAGACTGGGCAGTATGGAAGTCATGGGTCTTTGGCCAGAACTGGTTCAGGGGAGTGGCAGGGGAGGTTGCCAGAACAGAGGGAAAAATGGGAAAGGACCTTGAATAGCTGACTCTGAGGAGGTTGGTACTAGTTCTTCAGGTACTCGACAGGGGGCACGTGCAGAGCTGGAGCTCATATATCCAAGGAGGGGATGCCAGATGGCTGGTGGTGAGGAGTCTCTGAGAAGGATACTATGGCTAGGTCTGAGAATGAGTAAATAACCTGGTCAGTTATTGGAACCAACTGTTGCCGCCTAGGTGAGGAACCATTGTTGGAGTGGTACTTTCAAGAATGGGAAGCAAAACAAACAGGAAAACAGGAAGAATTAAATCCCTTGTTCCTCCATTAGTCTTTTAGTCTCCCTCTAGTCCTCACATAGGTAGACTTTGGCAAGAATCTAGGTAGCAGAAGAGAACTGTGGTTTGCAGAGTTCCAGCCCCAGCATGGCAAAAAGAGGATAGGAGGCTTTGAAGCTGAGAGACAATAGCTTAATCACCATCATAATTCACCCCTTTGGCTACTTAACATACACAAACACCTTTCTACGTGTACTTGAATTTTCTTTTAATTTCATGCTTTCACCTTGTAAGATGCAACTACACTTTGAACATTCTTACCCTCTCCCCTAAATGAGGTATGCTATTACAATTGCCATTGTATCCATTTTGGGGCAACATTTATATTATTGCTCTCTAAGCAATATTATTTGTTCCTCACACTCATAGTTCTACCTAAATGAATTTTCTGGAAGCTAAATAAAAAATTATAAAGTTAACAACACTGAGAATTATTATATAAAATAATAAGGGGGAAGAAGAGCTTCAGAAGAAATTAGTTCATGTATAGCAACACACACACACATGTACAAGCACACTCTAAGGAAGAAAATATGCATGGCTGCCACTGTCCTCATTTGTGTATTGATTACTAGGCTGTGGTTAATATTTGTAACTTACACTAGACCACTGGGCTAATTCTAAAATTACCCATGGTAGTAGCCCAGATATGGTGCACCGCTGTCACATCTGGACATTGGGTGTCCTTGTGGTCATCATTTCCACTTCTAATGTTAGACACTGGACACTATCACGCTGATGAATCTAGAAGCCCCTACTTTTTTGTGCAGTTCTCATGAGGGCTAATGTCCCTTATGGGAGTATCTATTAATTGTGGATGGGAAGGTGCCCTTTCTGCCAGTGTTCATGCCTTATATGATGGCACATTCTCCAGTGAGATGCTGGGAAGCCAGACTAGACAAATGTCCATTGCAACAATGACAAAGCCATCAATCTCTGGAGGCCAGAGAAGCCTATCTGAGGTTGGAAGGTGGAAGTGGAGGAGCAACAGGTAATGGATGTCCAAGGGTGATTAGGTAAAGGATGGGAAATCATGAACATGTTTCTAGTCTGTAAAAAATGACCCAGCAGGGAGAGACAAGGTCAAGAGATGATAGAAGGGGACCCACTGAAGATATATTATAGAGAGTGAATAATTGAATAAGCAAATTCCATAAAAAGGGCACTGTTGGAGGGTTGATCTTTAAGTGAAGGAGGCTCACCTCTGCTTCTGGGTATTGAGGGAAGAAAGGAAGCATTGTGGTGGATGAAGATATAGTTGAGGTTTGGGGTAGTTTCTTACTTTATGGAGCAAAGTAGGTTTTAGTTCAGAGAAAAGTATTCCTTCACAAAGTAGTACCTTCCTTTGATGAGCTAACTGCTTCGGATGGTGATTAAAAACTCTCATCTGGGTGCCTATTTTAGAGAAGTTCAAGTCTTATCATCAGGTTAAGGCAATGTGCTCAGTTTTAAAGCTCTGTAAACATATGTAAAGGTTTAAATTTTATTATGTATAGACTATAGTTATGTCTTGTGGCCTTCATTTTCTGAAAAAGTATGTGGGTATATATAAAAATTATATATGTATATACACACACACATATATATATATACACAAACACCATATATATATATAGGCATTATAAATTTGAATAGTAACTTAGCTACAGCTGAGAATTTTAGCTTTACATTCATTGATCTATTCATCTAAATGGTAGTACCTAGAAAAATGAGAAAATGGTGATAAATTAAATAGATTTTTAAACTTGCTTGTAAGATGAATTTAACAGATTCAATTGGCCTGCTTTTATTTTGAACCCAGATTTCTAAAAATAGTAGTATAGTAAAATCTGTCATAATTGCAAGCAATTGAGATGCATTCTTTCATTTTTTTCTGCCACATTATACCTCTGTATGATTGGTTAATATGTTTATTATACCAATTAACACATACTATTTCTGTTTTTTATTTCTATTTTTGTGTGCCTCTTTAGGCAATATATCTCCAAACAATTTAAACAAGACTCTTCTGATCACGAGTGAGATCTGGCCAGTATGACAAATGAGACCTCTGTGGAAGAGAAAATCCATAATTTTTTTTTGTAAAGAGAAGGTTTTGCCATTGACCAGGCTGGTCTCAAACTCCTGGCTTCAAGCATTCCTCTCACCCTGGCCTCCCAAAGGGCTAGGATTACAAGCATGAGCCATTGAACCTGGCCAATAATGGTTTTTTAATAGAAAAGTTTTTTTTTTTTTTAAATCAAACTCACCTTTTGTAGACATAAGAGAATTCACAAGAGAAATCTTTCAAACATTTCCAGGTGTAAAAGTGTATTTTTTAAGGAACTAAAACCTAAGGTATATAAGGAATTTAATACCCTACAAATGTGTCCCTTAAAGGAAAGCATTGTTTGAGCTCAGATATTAATGTTTGTCGAGAATCTGAAGGACAGATACCCTAGAAAGGCGGTATTTTGGAACTGCTCTAGACATTTCATCTTAGATCTAGGAAAGAAATCCTCTTCTTCCTTGATTAGGGACCTACTGTGTGTACCGGACACTGAGCTGAGTGCGGGGAACCGTGTTCAACAACATAGCCTCAGCCCTTGCCCTTCTGGAGCTAACAGTCTGTGATAAAACAGGAAACATTACATTATAGCAAAGTTTGAAAATGCTGTGATGTAATATATTATATATAGGGACTTGTGGAAACATATGCCAGGAATTTCTAGACTAGCCTAAGAGGGGCCAGAGGAGAA